TATGTACAAAATCAACTAACATAAGAGTAATTAAATGCAATCCATTGAACATATTCTAGCAGGCAATCAAGTGGTAGGAAAAAGCAAATGATAAGGTTCAAAGGAATTCTTGCCTCCATGAATTGCACAATACAATCTATGAGATTGTCTTTTGTTATATTATTCTTATTCTCTTACTATCATTGTTGTTCTTTTACGTTACATCACTATATTAATTTTTCCATTATTAGTTGTTTTATTCCCTAATCTCTTTATGTTCAAGTAGATACCATCCACTATATGTAAATTGTGTTGAACTATATGCTCACTCACTACCAAAGTTTTCTTTGTGTAAACAAATCTCCATGGAGAAAAAAATAGAATCCCTTGGAGAGAAAGAGGAAGAGCTAAGCAATGAGATTGAACAACTTTTAACCAGGCTTCTGAAGGAAGAAAATTGGAATGGTCTTGAACTCTATCAATACCCAGGGTTTTGGTGTCAATCTAAGTGCCTTCATGGCATGATCAGGTTTCAGAGGCACTTTGAAGCTCAAGATAACGACATAATATTAAGCACTTTTCCGAAATGCGACACCACTTGGCTCAAAGCCCTAATTTTCACCATTGTCAAGCATTCCAATATTCACTAGAAAATAGTCCCTTGCTCTCTCAAGGCCCTCATGAGTTTGTTCTTTTTCTTGGTTATGATCTTTTTATGAGAGATCGCGTTAAATGTGAAGCCTTATGCAACACCGTTTTGACTTAAGCCGAGAAGCCTTATGCGACATCGTTTTGACTTAAGTCGAGACTTTATCCTAATCGTTGGTTTGAAGACAGATCTGACGATTGAGGACTTAAGCTGAGTCAAACCCTGTAAAAGTAGAGGACCCTTCAGTTTCACGACTAACGCGTATTCTCTCTGTTTGATATCTCTCAAAGTTACTAGATTAGGGTTCAAGAATTAAGGCTTTGAGTCTGTGTAAATCTACTGATATTCTATCCATTGAGTTGTGTTTCTTAGTGGGGTGAGAACCTGGTGTAGTGTTCTTAGTTCAGATTGTAGATTTATCTTTATTCTGAAGTCGGTCTTGATCTTGGTTGAAATCTTGTAAAGGGAAGAGAGTTTGAGGTTTGTAACCGTTCTTGATCGTAATAGTAAGTGCAGCAAGCATCCATATTTTGGAGCTCAAAGTGGACGTAGCTTATTCAATATTGAACAAGTGAACCACGATAAATACTGTGTGTTGAATTTGTTTGGTTTGCGTTGATTATGTGTTTGTTGGTTGAGGCTTGCTTGATTTGAGTAAAGAGAAATTACAACAGTGGTATCAGAGCCTAAAGGTCTAAGGTGAATCTAGGTTTAGGAATCATTTAACTCTTGATGAATTCGAAAATTAGGGTTTGTCAGTTTTTGGGGGTTTTTCGATTTAAAGGTTCCTAGATCATTAGGACTTCAAATCTTGCTGAATCTTGGGATTAATTCGTGAGATTAGGTCACAAACACAAGGGATCAACGAAAATCGGGCAAAATCAAAATTAGGGTTTTGTTAGGATTTGGGGGTTTTTCTTTCGAATTAGGGTTTCGAATAGTTCTAAATCTGTTTAAGGGTATTTTGGCTGGAAAACCAGTAATCGCCTTAAAAATTACCTAGCAGTATTTGGCAACTTCTGGTATAATAACGCCACATACTCCTTAGACTGTTTTGCCCTGTCATTAATCGTCCTGAATCTGTTTAAGAGTATTTCGGCTGAAAAACCAGTAATAGCCTTAAAAACTGCCTAGCAGTATTTGGCAATCTCTGGTATAACAATGCCACGTACTTCTTAGACTGATTCTGCCCTGTAATTATAGTATAATGAGCACTACTCGCATGGAGATCTCCCAATATGATGGGAATATCGATTTTAATACATGAAAAAAGAAAATGAAGGCCTTATTATCTCACAACAAGGTCGGGATCGCACTTGAAAAGGATGAGACCAAATGGCCAGAAGAAAAGAAAAAGAAAAAGGCAGAAGTGGATGAAGAAGCATACAATTTGATCATTATGAATCTGTCAAACACCGTGCTGCGAAAGGTGGATTGTGTGGAATCTCCAATTCCACTCTGGGGTAAACTCGAGTCTCTGTATGCTCTTAAATCTGCCCCTAATTTAGCTTTCTTGAAAGGTGCTTTATTTTCTTATAAGATGGACATAGCTAAATCCCTAGATGATAATCTTGATGAATTCTTAAAAATGACCCTAACCTTAAAAGGTACTGACCAAGAACTAGGAGATTCAAGCCTTGCTATGATTCTGTTAAATTCCCTATCGGAAGAATACTTAGTGGTAAAGAATGCACTCCAGTATAGTGGGACAGTACCTAGTGTGGACCTGATTGTTTCTGGACTGAAATCTAGGGAATTAGAATTAAAGATCCAGAAGCGTAATGGTAGCAATTTGTTTGTGAAAGGGAAAATTGAGGTTGGGCAATCTAGCAAAGATAATGCAAAAACCCATCAGAGAAATGTAGGTTTTTAAAACAAGAAGAATAGTAAAGGAAATAGTAGAACTAAGGGGGAATCTAGGAAATGTTTCTTCTGTAACAAGGTAGGACACCAAAAGAAAAATTGCTATGATTGGATTAAAAAGAACAAACAGAATATTACAGAGACAAACCTAGCCAGCTCTAGTAGTAACCTAGAAATATCAGAAGCCCTTACCATTTCTAATACATCTAGAGGCAGTGAATGGGTACTAGACTCAGGTTGTAGCTTCCATATGAGCCCTAACAAGGACTGGTTTCAAAGACTTAAAACTGGGGAATAGGAAATTGTCTTTATGGGGAATAACCACTCCTGTGAGGTTTAAGGGATAGGAGATATAACCATTAAGCTAAATAGTGGTAAGTTAGTATTACTAACTAGAGTCAAGTTTATACCTGAACTAAAACATAATCTAATTTCCTTAGGAACCTTAGATGAATCAGGCTGTTCTTATAAGGCTCAAAATGGATGTATGGAAGTCTACAAAAATGGAAATGTGTTAATGAAGGGCGTTAAGAAAAATGGGCTCTATATATTGTGTGGGCAGTACTATCCTGATGTTTCCAATTCTGTTTTACTGTCTACTAACATATCTGCTGCAGTAAAATGGCACTTGAGATTAGGCCATATAGGCCAGAATGGTATGAATGCATTGAAACAGCAAGGTTATTTTGGTAGTGATGTTGTAACTGCTCTAGATTTCTGTGAAACCTGTATCCTTGGAAAACAGCACAGGATGAGTTTTCAAAAAGGAACTCATCTTGCTGCAAACTGTCTAGACTATGTCCATGCTGACCTTTGGAGTCCAGAAAAGGTAAAGTCACATGGAAGGAACATATATTTCCTCTCCATTGTGGATGATTACAGTAGAAAGGTATGGGTATACCTCCTTAGGATCAAGGACGAAGCCCTAACCAAGTTCAAAGGTTGGAAAACCCTTATAGAAACACAGTTAGATAGAAAGGTTAAAACCCTTAGAACTGATAATAGTCTGGAGTTCTGTAACTTAAAGTTTGACACCTACTGCCAAAATCAAGGGTTACAAAGGCATAGAACTGTCAGGGCAACCCCACAACAAAATGAGTTGCAGAAAGGATGAATAGGACTCTCCTAGAAAGGGTCAGGTGTCTTCTATTCACTGTTGGGCTACCCAAGACTTTTTGGGGAGAAGCCCTAACTACAGCTGCTTATTTGATCAATAGAAGTCCATCCAGCTCAATAGGTTTTAAATGCCCTGAAGAGAGATGATCTGGGAGGAAACCTAACCTGAACCACCTAAGGGTTTTTGGGTGTGCAACATATGCACATACCAGAAAGGGTAAGCTTGAACCCAGGTCTCTAAAATGTGTCTTCCTAGGGTACCAGGATGGTACTAAAGGTTATAGGTTGTGGGAGAGAAATGCACCAAGAGTTAGGATCATAATAAGCCGAGATGTAGTCTTTAATGAGCTAACCTTCCCTTGCAAAGTGTCTACTGACAATGCAGGTAACTCAAGAACAGATCCTGAACTGCTTGATCAAACAGAGAGATCACAGTTTGAGGTAGAGCCACAAAACCTGACAGAACACTTAGAACAAACTGAACAAACAGAACCAAAAGGTACCACACTACAGAACATTGGGGACCAATATGAATAAACTGAGCAGTCTAAGAACAATGATGAAGAATAGAATGAGAACCTAGCAGACTACCAGCTGGCCAGAGACAGAGTCAAAAGGGAAATAAGGCCCCCAAACAGATACAGTTATGCAGATCTGATCTACACAGCCCTTGTGGCTAGGGTAGAGACACTGAGGTCTGAACCAGAGACATATCAGGAAGATGTGAGTTCAAAAGACAGTAAAAAGTGGCTAGAAGCAATGAAGGAGGAGATGAAATCCTTAAGATAGAACAGTACTTGGACTCTGGTCCCAAAACCTACTGACCAAAATTTAATTGACTGCAAATGGCTTTATAAACTGAAGGAAGGTCTAACAAGCTTAGACCCTCCAAGATACAAAGCAAGATTGGTGGCAAAGGGCTACACACAAAGGGCAGGTATAGACTTTACAAAAGTTTTCTCTCCTGTAGTTAAGTTTAAAACAATTAGACTCATGTTACTTGTATAGACTCATGTTACTTGTAGTAACTCAGTATAATCTAGAACTGGAACAGTTAGATGTTAAAACTGCTTTTTTATATAGTGAATTGGAAGAGAAAATTTATATGAGTCAATCATTGGGGTTTAGAGATAGAAACCTGCTTGAACATGCCTGCCTGTTGCATAAGTCCTTGTATGGACTCAAACAATCCCCTAGGCAATGGTACAAAAGATTTGACTCATTTATAGTGGAAATTGGGTTCATTAGGAGTGCATATGATAACTACTTGTACTATGCTTGCTTTAATAACATACCTTTGTACTTACTGTTATACGTAGATGACATGTTGTTAATTAGTAAGTCCAAACCTCAAATAGATGAATTAAAAGCAAAACTAAATGCTGAATTTGAGATGACAGACCTAGGGTCTGCAAGAAGGATATTAGGGATGATGATTGATAGGAATAGAAAGGGAAATAGACTGAAACTCCATCAATTTCCATATTTGCGGAAACTGATATCTAGGTTTGGTTTGACTGATGCTAAAACTGTAAATGTGCCCCTAGCAGGTCATTTCACATTAAGCAAAATGCAATCCCCAAAAACTGATGTAGATAGGATTGAAATGGAAAACATCCCTTACTCTAGTGCCATAGGATCAATGATGTATTCAATGATAAGCACTAAGCCTGATCTTTCATTTGCAATATCTCTATTAAGTAGGTTTATGTCAAATCCAGGAATAGAGGATTGGGTTGCCTTAAAATGGACACTTAGGTACATTAACACTACAATGCATGTTGGATTAGAATATTGCAAAAGAACTCCTGCACTTGATCTTGTTGGGTATGTGGACTCTGATTTTGCAGGAGATCGTGATTCAAGGAAGTCCACCACAACTTACTACTTCACTTTAGGTGGAAACTACATTAGCTGGAAATCTCAGCTTCAACCATTGGTGGCACTGTCCACAACAGAAGCTGAGTATGTGGCAGTAACTGATGCCTTCAAAGACGCAATCTGGCTACAAGGGATTTTGAAAGAGATAAACTTGATGAATGGCCCTGTGACTGTATATTCTGACAGTCAAAGTGCCATTCATCTAAGTAAAAATCCAGTATACCATGAGAGGACGAAGCATATGGATGTCAAGTATCATTTTGTCCGAGACTAGATTTCAAATGGAACTATCAACCTACTAAAAATTCCAACTGAAGAAAACCCATCTAATATGGGAACCAAAGTTGTAACTGCTGCAAAGTTCAAGCACTGCTTGAACATTCTTCACATCAACTGAAGTCAGAGCAAAGAAGGAGTATGAGAACTGCTTGCTGCATCTATTGGGTACTGTCAAAAGGAAGAATAAGACTTCAAGGTGGAGATTGTTAAATGTGAAGCCTTATGCGACACCGTTTTGACTTAAGCCGAGAAGCCTTATGCGACATCGTTTTGACTTAAGCCGAGACTTCATCCTGATCGTTGGTTTGAAGACAAATCTGACAGCTGAGGACTTAAGCTAAGTCAAACCCTATAAAAACAGAGGACCCTTCAGTTTCATGACTAACGCGTATTCTCTCTGTTTGATATCTCTCAAAGTTACCAGATTAGGGTTCAAGAATTAGGGCTTTGAGTTTGTGTAAATCTATTGATATTTTGTCCATTGAGTTGTGTTTCTTAGTGGGGTGAGAACCTGGTGTAGTGTTCTTAGTTCAGATTGTAGGTTTATCTTTATTCTGAAGTCGGTCTTGATCTTGGTTGAAATCTTGTAAAGGGAAGAGAGTTTGAGGGTTGTAATCGTTCTTGATCATAATAGTAAGTGCAGCGAGCATCCATATTCTGGAGCTCAAAGTGGTCGTAGCTTGTTCAATATTGAACAAGTGAACCACGGTAAATACTGTGTGTTGAATCTGTTTGGTTTGCGTTGATTGTGTGTTTGTTGGTTGAGGCTTGCTTGATTTGAGTAAAGAGAAATTACAACAGATCGTCTTCCTATTCTTTAAGACTTTCCCAAGCCAAGGATTTTCACGACACATACCCCATATCCTTCACTTCCAAATTCTCTTAAGAATTCAACCTGTCGCATTGTTTACATATGTAGAAATTCTTTAGACCAATTTGTCTCCCATTAGAAGTTCATGGTGAGAATGAGAGTTTGAAACATCTAGCCGATTTCGATTGATGAAGCTTTTGAGATGGCTTGTCAAGGAAGGCAAGGATTTGGCCTCATTTGGGAACATGTCTTGGGATATTGGAAGGCTAGTAAAGAAGAACCACACAAGGTATTATTCTTGAAATATGAAGATTTGAAAGAGAACAACAAATTTTATTTAAAAAAATTAGCCGATTTCATCTGATATCCCTTCACTGAAGATGAAGAGAAGCAAGGAAAGATAGAAAAAATTTCCAAGTTTTGTAGCTTTGATAACATGAGCAATCTGGAGGTGAACAAGAATTGTGCACATCCCATAGCGCTTAAGAATGATGTCTTCTTTAGGAAAGGTTTGATGGGAGATTGGAAAAATTATTTGACACCTTCAATGTCCGAACGTCTGGAGAAAATAATTGAAGAAAAATTGAGTGGCTCGGGTTTATCCTTTAAGAAAACCTAGCTTTAAAAGCCCTAGAAGATCCATAAACTATAATTTCCATATTGTTGCGTCAAATAGCTTTGCTTTCTTATGGTTGTGATGTGCTGCTGTCTCTTTAATGTGATGAAGTGTGAATAAATTTGATGTATTAAGAATGAAAAAAAACAACTTTTTTGTATGTGATGAAGTGTGAGTAAGTTTGATCTTATTTTGTACAGAACAAGTATTGAGACTAATGAATAAACAAATGTCGTTAAACAATTGAATAGCAATAGTTTTGTTAAACACAAAAAATCCCGTACATGATATTCTATACAATAAATAGAATATTAGTATATTACATTACAACTACTATAAGATTTCTATATTATTTAACACCATTCTGTATCTATGTACTCCAACTTCTCTAACAGTATATTCCTTAGGACCACAACATTGGCTCATCTTTTGTCATTGACTAACCGAATACTGAAATTTCAAGAAATAATATTCACTAATTATTGAGTAAAGTGAAGGTGCAGAAAAGACTTTCTAAGTTTTCCTATTAAATCTATAGTTTACAGTTTATGTTGTTGTATGAAAGTGTAATAATTACAAACTTACTACTGGGGATTTGTTTGTAATGTTTACAAACAATTGTAAAAGTTTGTAATATGCATAAAACGCTGCGCATTGTAAATAGGCTGAATAAATCAGTCACCTGCTCTGTTATTCGGCAGTTAGAGAAATTGAAAATGAAATTCCAGAACTCTTCTCTCTTCTCTCTATTTTCGTTCTGTTTCTTTAATTTTCTTTTTCTTTGTGTGAAATTCTTCAGGATCAGAGCCCTAGACAAACGTATGGTTGATTTTGTCTTTAACTCTGAAAATTTCAACTCAAAATCGTAGAAATGAACACTGAGAGTTCGAATTTCACTATTCCAAGTAACCCACCCACCTTACCCACCATTTCTGTGAAATTACTTGAAGAAAACTATTCTTTCTGGAGGTCCCAAATTCTACCAGCGTTGACCTCTCATGGAATTGAAATGTTTGTAACTGGAGAGAATGTGTCCATCGATGTTTTTAATTGAGAAAGCAGAGGATTCTGAACAGCTGTCAGAAGCCGAATCAAATTATTTTGCGTGAAAAAGATTGACCAATTTTCTGGTAAGTTGGCTATACTCTACAAGTCTGAAACTATGTATCGTCATGTAGCTAAATGTACTTCTGCGTATGAGATCTGGAAATTCTTGAGATGCATTTTCAGTCTGCTTCTAAGGCTAGAACTCTTCACCTTAGAAATTTGCTACAACTACAAAAAAGATGCTAGTACTGTTAACGAGTATGTGTTAAAAATGAGAGAGTTAGGGGATGATTGATTACCAGTGGTGTTAATATTTCCGATGAAGAGCTTCTGTTATATATAGATGGCCTTGGGCCTGAATATGTGCAGTTGTGGCAAACTTAACTGCGAATAGTAGTCAAAGCACTTTACAGGAGGCTCAGTTTTTACTTCACAAACATGAGATTAGGCTAGAACGACAACATGCTTCCCTGACTCAATTTCATGAAGCTTTGATGGTCTCTAAGCAAGGTCAGAGTGATTCCTCAATTATGTCACAACATCCAAACCCTCACCTATTTGAGGTTGATAATTCAAGAACTTTTAATCAATTCACTCCATCAGCTCCAGTCCTATCTCAACCACCAGTTTCGAATGTCTTTTCCCAACATCAACATCCTGGTTTCACAGCCAATCAAGGATTTGCTAGACCTGATTTTAACTCTCCTCAACAACACAGTACTCACAGTTTACTCCTCTTAATCAATACCAAATGTATCAATCACAAATGGTGCGGGTAAGGAAGAGGCAGAGGATACTTTCGACCAAAATTAATATGCCAAGTGTGTGGAAAAGGAGGTCACTCAGCTCTACAATGTTATCAGATTTGACCATGAATATCAGGGGTTTGTGTCTTCTAGATCTGGATACAATTCTGGACCTATATACAATTCTGGCCCTGGATACAATGCTACTCATGGATACAATGCTGGACCTGCTCAGACTTTAATGGAAGGACAATCTCATGAATCTGCCCAGCTCTGTTAGCAACTGGAGTATGCCTACTGGAGTTATGTCTGGACAGTCTGTCAACAAATTTGTTCCTGCAACATATGGTTCTGTAATGCCAAATGCTCAGACTGGATATTATGGACAATGTAGCTCTATTCCATCCAATCTTGGAGGGTCTCAGCCATCTCACTCTAGCAGATTCTTCAGTACTGAATCAAAACGTCAGAATCATTCACCAGCTTCAGTTGAAACCACCATGGCCACACCACAAACTGTGACAGACCAGACGTGGTATGTAGACTCTGGAGCTACAATCACATGACTTCTGACCTAAACAATCTGTCATTCAGACAACTATCAAGGAGGAGCAGCTGTCCAAGTGGGCAATGGACAAACTGTCCCTGTCTCACACACAGGTGTGTCTCTTTTACACTCCCAAACTTCTCCTAGAGTTTTACTTCTCAAAAATTGTATGTGTGCCTCATATCGCAAAAAACTTACTAAGCATATCTCAAATTACTAAAGACAATGGTGTGATCGTAGAATTTCACTCTGATCATTGTCTTGTAAAGGAAAAATGGACTGAAGAGGTACTGCTTCAAGGAACCTTACAAGATGGCTTGTACCAGCTGCAAGTTTCCTTGCCAATTGCTGCCTCCAATCCTAATTCTCCTGCATCTTGCTTGTTGCTGATGTTTCCAACACCTATCTTAATAATAGCTTGAATAAAAATTCTGATTCTCAAGAAAAACAATCTGATGTAAATCTGAATTTGACAAAATTGTGGCATGCTCGGTTGGGCATCCACAAGTGAAAACTCTTAAGAATGTGATGAATAAAGTGCATGTTACTGGTTCATTTGCCAATAATATCTTTTGCGAATCTTGTCAATTTGGAAAATTGTCTCAGACCTCCTTTCCCAAGTCTGCCTCTAGGACAACAAAACCTCTTGAATTGGTTTACTCTGATCTGTGGGGTCCTGCTCCTGTGTGTTCCTCTGAAGGTTTTAGGTATTATTACTATTTGTGGATGATTTTAGTAGATATATGTGGATATACCCTCTGAAATTTAAGTCTGAAGCCTTTAAGGTTTTTACCTATTTCCATTGTTTTTCGGAGAAACAATTAGATGCCAAGTTAAAGACTTTACAAACTGATTGGAGGTGAATTTAGAGTCTTACTGAATATTTACAGCAACATGGGATTAATTTTAGACATCCTTGTCCTATCTTCATCAACAAAATGGGAGAGTAGAAGAGACATAGGATTATTACAGAATTTGGTCTAACATTATTGGCGATGCTGGTATGCCTTTATGCCTATGGTGGCAAGCTTTCACACGTGTATATCTTGCCAACAAGCTCCCTTCTTCTGCTCTTGAAGATGTATCACCGTATCAAATGTTACAAAAGACACCTGATTATATGAGCTGAAGGTCTTTGGATGCAGCTGTTATCCCTTTATAAGACCTACCAAAAACAGAAATTGTCCTACCATTCAGAGCAGTGTGTTTTCATAGGTACAGCCTTGCA